GGTGCTGGGACCGGCTGAGCTTCTCTACCCTAGGAGCCTGGGATGGCAGTGGCGGAGCTTCCTTCCAGGTGCTGGGACCAGCTGAGCTTCTCTGCCCTAGGAGCCTGGGATGGAGTTGGGGAACTTCCTTCCGGGTGCTGGGACCAGCTGAGCTTCTCTGCCGTAGGAACCTGGGATGTCAGTGGCGGGGGAGCTTCCTTCCAGGTGCTGAGACTGGCTGGGATTCTCTGCCCTAGGAGCCTGGGATGGAGGCAGGGAGCTTCCTTCCAGGTGCTGGGACTGGCTCACCTTCTCTGTCCTAGGAGCCTGGGATGGCAGCGGGGAGCTTCCTTCCGGGTGCTGGGACCAGCTGAGCTTCTCTGCCCTAGGAGCCTGGGATGGCGGTGGGGGAGCTTCCTTCCACGTGCTGGGACCAGCTGAGCTTCTCTTCAAATTGTTTTTACTTCCCTTTGCTTCTCTCTTACAACTTTATGATCCCAATTTTCTTACCAAGATTTGGTATGGAGTACTAAGTGTTGAAAGTTATTGAAAATATTAGTGTGATGATAAGCAATGAGGTCTCTGGAAATAAAAGTTGGATTCAAATTCTGGCTTTGCTACTAGCATACTAACCTTGGATATTTAATTTCTCTAAGTGTGTATCATTCTGTCTATAATAAAACTAACGTTTAATACTACTATATGGCAGGCACTGTTTTATGTCCTTGTATATTAACTTACTTGATCATTAGGAGAACAATCTATTGAGGTTATTCCTATATTTGTATCCCACTTTATTATTGAGGAAACTGAAGTGAAAGAGAGGTTTTGTAGTTTGTCAAAAGTTACATACTTGAGAAAAGGCAGAGCTGGCTTTCAGTCTAAGCAATCTGGCTCCAGAAACAATGCTATTTTTTAGTGTCTAATTCAGAGTTGTAGTAGTGATTAAATGAGATAACTCAGAGTTATCTTAGTTGAGCCTGACACATAATATGTGCCTAATAAATGTTGACTTTGGGAGACACCATAGTGTAGTGTGGGAGAACAGACAAGAAATCTTAGGGCTCCTGCCTGAACTCTACAGGAGTAACTTAGGTGACCATGAACAAGTTTCTTAGCTTCTTTGAACTTTAATTTTGTCATCTGCAATATAAAATCTTTGAACTAGTTGGCCTCTGAGGTCTCTTTCATTGTTTAAATTCTGTACTGTGTATGACCCTCTAAGAATATTGAAACAAATTGCAGGTATACCTGAATTTGGATGGACAGGGTTCCACATCACCTTGAGGGTTGAAGAGTAAGGGACCTTAGCATTTCCTTGGTTACATTTGTACTTTGCCCATCTGCTCTTGAAGATGCTTGCTAGAAAGATAGTGACACTTAGTAAAGAACTGTGAAGTCTGGGGTAAGACCATCATATATTGAAATCTGTTCCCACTATTTACTAGCATGACCTTGGATAAGCTACTTCTCTGTTTCTGTTTCATCGGTAAACTAGGGATAAATGTTCCTACCTCATTGTATTATTTCAGATACTAAGATACATCATGTAAAATGTTTTTACATGGTATGCATTCAATACATATTAGCTGTTACAATTATACTATTATAAAGATTCCCAGAGCTAAGAGGTTTTTTAGCTCCTCAAGTTCCAGGTGAGACAGAAGACCCTCAGAAACAGGGAATTGGAAATTATATGGCTGGGCACTCCAGTCACTGGGAAATGAATGCATGAAATCTGAATCTTGTGCAGTTGTGCCCTTGTGCCTCATTGCTCTTTCTTTTACCAGGTGTGGAGAGACTTTTCTGGCACAGTTCTGCTTTTCTATACCTTGTCCATTGTGTACTAAACCCTTCATGGCAAATCTGCTATAGGTTTGGCTTGCTTCAGCCCTTCCATCCTCTAAGGAGAGTTGTTTCACATACATACATCCCAAGCCTGAATTTCTGGTGGTGGTGGTGGTGGTGGTGGTGGTTGAACCATGGTCTAAGGAAGAGTAGTGATCAAAATGTTAAAGCAGTACAGAAAGAAAAAAAGGAAGGAGGCAGAAATTAGGAATTATTCACCAAGAAGTCCAAGGAGTTATCTGGTATTGAATGTGTCTAAACAGAGGGTTTTAAACTAGTTTCTCTTCATTCCTGGCCCTGCTTTGACCTATGATATGTTCTCCCATGGAAGCGTCAAATCTGCACACAGGCTTACAGCCATGATTTCAGAAAAATACTCTCCTCCAAAAGCCATATAATGTCAGAAAATAATTTGCCTAACTTGGAACACAAATGAATACACTCTTGGTCTAGGGCAGTAGTGGCAAACCTATGGCATACGTGCCGCAGCTGGCTGTTTATTATCGAAAGCTCTAAACCGTTTGCCATCACAGTTTTAAGGGCAGCCTGATGCTCTTAAAAGACATTATCTGTCCCCTCTCCCAGCTAGGTAGATGGGACCATTTAATTGATATCCCCACCAAAGCATGTAGAATTGAGGTGGTGTTTTGATTTTGTTTTTTCTAAAAGAAAAAAAATCTAGGCAAGCAAAAGTAAGATAAGAAAAGAAAAAGAAAATAAGTGAATTTATTTACATTGAAATAAACCAAAGTGATTTATTTATTCATTAGGCTTATCGGTTGACATCTTGTTTCTTCTTAAGAAACTATTAGTTCCCTTTTTAAATTTATTGTCTAGATCATTTCTAAGTACAGTATTTATTTTAGATTAAATGTTAAAATGTCCACCTTGCTATTGTAGTTTTTGTGGATGATCTCTGTTGAACTTGGGATGGTTTGCTTGGCCTAACCAGCTTTGAGACAAAGGGGGGATAGGTAGTAGGGTAAATTATGCAAAGGTGTAACTCTTTTATTATTCCCATTTTAGTTTCTCTCCTTATCTTCTCTCCCTGATTCTAACTGTAGTTATTAATACTTAATCCCAAAAACTGATTCTTTATTTTTCATTTTACCTGCCTATTGATAGTTTAAGAAGAGGGTAAGAATGTGGGCTCAGGATTCAGATTCCTTGGATTTCAAGGCTGTGTCATTTGCACATCTTGAAATCTTAAAAATCTTAATTAACTTTTGCCTGTCCTCCTCTATAAAATGAAGATAACAATATGTAATTCTCAGGGGTATCTTGAGGCTTAAATTAGACAGTAATGGAAAGTGATTAGAATTGAACCTACCACACAGTAAATTCCTCAAGAACAGCAGTAACTGTTATTTCCAGCTCTGAAGCTTTCATGCAGCTTATCTATTATTCTGAAAGGAATGAGAAGTATGTGGGAGGCTGTTAGAAAGCATTATATTTTAGTATCTTAGGATGGAGAATTGAGGCCAAATTGAAAGAAATGCCTGGAGATGGAATTGGAAGACCTAATTATCATAATGATCATAGTTTTATTAATTAAATTTATTAATTAAATGGTATATTCTTACCGATTTTATTTTATGGATGACAATGAACAAGTAACTTCTCCAGGCTTCTTGTTATTCTTTCAGAATGTGAAGGTTTTGGTGTAGGATGAGGCAGTCATCATTCCCTAATCTTTAGTTAAGGAAGGAAGGAATATCAAAATGTATTTTGTACTTGGTGTGTGTAAGCACATGTGATTATAAGAGAGAGAGAAAAATAGTTTATATTGAGATAAACCAAAGTTATTTAATTGTAAATTAGGCTTATGAGTTGACATGTTTGCTTTCTTCTTAAGAGGCTATTAAGGCCCCTTTTCAACTCTACTGCCAAATCATTTTTAAGTATTTGTTTTGGTTTTCTCAAGGAAACTATTCTAGGCATTATGATATATATTTGTTATATTCATCCTAGAGTCAAGAAACTTGGTTTAGGACCTTGTCCCAATACTTTACAGCATTGCCCTGGAAAAATTACATTTCCTACAATATGCCTCCTTTTCATCTGTATAATGAGACATTTCTTTTATTTAACTTTTAAATCCTTTCCTAGCAGCCTATGATTCTGTGAGTATCACAGCATAGGTTGTGGCTGGAATTCCAAAGAGAAAATTTGACCGAACCATGCCCTTTTAAAACATTTTTTAATCTTCTCTCTGTTAACGTTTGCTGCAGGATTTCGGCTGAATGCCTCCTCCTGGCCTATGTTCCTTTTGAAGACACTAAACGGAGCAGAGATGGCTCCCATCAGGATTTTCCACAAGGTACACTGTTACTCAGATATCACCAACTCCAAGCTGCTTAAGTTCAAATACCTCCTTTCAATTATTGAGTCACTGGTGTCTGTATTTATGACTTGAGGCTGCCATCTCGGAAACTAATTCAGTAGAAGAATTTTTAGTATTTATGAAGTGGCAGTTATTGTCAGAGAAATGTATTAATCTGTAATAAGATAGGATTCCTGGGTTTTGGGTCCCAGCTGTCAATAATCAACTAAGATAGTAATAAGATCCTTTTTCACCTTACCTATAAAGTAGAATTCCATTTTACATTATAGAGTTGTTAAGAAGTTAAAATATGTATACTAGTAGTACTATAAAATATAATGCAAATCTAAAGGAACAATTCTTAGAAACTTCTATAGAATGTATGTTAAACAGAGAAAGGAAGGAAATTATTTTTTAAGCAACATCAAAATGTTTTGGGCTTTATATATACTATCTCATTTAATACCCCAGCTAACTTCATGGACTAAGAATTATTAGTTTCATTTAATAGTTATGGAGACATACTTTTGAGTAAGAAACTTACTACTCAAGGTGACATAGCTGTCAGTAGTGGAACAAATATCCCAAACCTGTGTTTATTCTTCCTTGTTTCTCAAAGATAGAGACAGTCTGAATTAAAGTGGGACATACTGAATTCTCTGGTCGGGTGAAAATTACTATAAATATGACTGAATTTTTTTTAAAAGACCAAGTTAGATTTCCCTGTGCTGCTGTCTAAACCCTGAAAACATTCTGGTTCCCAAAATAGTGTACAGGACAACTTGAAAACTTTCCCCGCAAGCACAAGGACCCGAGTTCGATCTCCGGTACCAAAAAAAAAAAACCTTTCCCTATACTCAGGTATTTACCTGAGTGCCAGGAGGGAACAAACCCCAACAAATATCCTTCTCATTGCCTTACTGAACTTACCAGAAAGTAACAAAATTCTTCACAGACCAAACAAGAAAGAAAAGCAAGTGTCAAATGTACATACTAAACCTATAGCTGCTTCAAGGGGCTTTGCCAACAGCAGGTGGTGAAACCACCGAGCTAAATCCCCGGCCCAAATCTTGTCTTTTTACATCCATAATAAGACACAAGATGAGGCCTTGAGCCCATGCAGGGCAATCAAATCAACCTTAAAGTACCACATAAAAACCAAATCAGACCCCTCAAGTATTACCCCTTGATGAAAAGATGGTTAAATTAATGAGGAAGAGTCTCTGCTGGGCTCTGAGCAGGGATGGCAATTGAGTTCCTTCCTCTAATTAAACAGTTACCCCTGAGGTTCACATATACTCTCTGTGCTGTCTAAGAACCCCAAACTTGTATGGATGGTGATATCTCTGAATGCCTGGTAGAAGTAAACCCAGAATCTCTCTAGCGGATTTAATGTCACAGAAATCCCCAAAATGAAGTGCCTCTGAAGAGAGCACTTAGTTTCAAATTAGAAAGCCCTCAGAAACTTTCAAAACATATCTGCCTTAATGGGGAGTAACTAGACACAACAGACAGCAACATAATCCCCAAGGACTTTCTGGTAATAGAAATATCAGCTAGAGATTATGAATTAAGAATTTGAAAATGACTAAAGAACTAAAGGAATAAAAATGAGAAAAGTACAAAACTATTTTTTAGCAGTCAGATTAGAAAAAAGACCAAATTGAACATGTGGAAATGAAACATCTAGAAATTTCAAACCATTGAAATTAAAAATCAATAATAATTTTAAAATATATACCTGACAAATTAAGTGAAAGACATATGTAAGGAATTTCACCCAGCTGCAGTACAGAGAAAAAGAGATGGGACTACTGGAAGGAAAAGATTAGGAGAGCAGTATTAAAAGGCCCAATAGGGCCGGGGATTTAGCTCAGTGGTTCCGCTGCTTACCTTGCAAGCACAAGGACCCGAGTTCAATCCCTGGTACCAAAAAAAAAAAGGCCCAATAGATGCTGAATATTAAATCAAAAAAGATTAATTAGAATAAGAAAGAAAATATTAGAAAAGATAAAAAATGAATTTTCAAAGTTTTGTAAATGGAGAGGGGAAAGAGGATTGAAAAGGGAGGGGGAATGGAGAAAAAGAATTAAGATATATTATGTACAGGTCCAATTCCCTATGATGAATTTGATCATTACGTATGTCAAAAATGTACCAATAAAATTAATTTTTTTAAAAACCCAATTTTTCCAGACCATGCAATAAAGACACACACCTTAAAACATCATCTTATAATGGTAGGAAACTAGAATTGAAAAGAAATCTGGGAAGTAATCAAACAATATCTGTCAGGAGATCACAGTTAGCTGACAGCACATTGCTTGACAGTAGCAGAACAAGCAAGAAGATAATGGAATAATATTTTTTAAATATTGAGGAAAATATAGTCTTCTACCTAGAATTCTATAGTTATATTATTTCAGAATGAAGGTCAAAATCAGACCTGTCAAACATGCTAATATAATGTAAGTGGATACTAGCATATGCACTGATTGAGCAACTGAGGACTATATTTTATTAAGGAAGTAATTAAACCCTAAAGTAAGAATGAGATGCACGAAGTAATGATGCATACTCGCTTCAGCAGCACATGTTCTAAAATAGGAACATTACAGAGATTAGCATGGCCCCTGTGCAAAGATGACACCCAAATTCATGAAACATTCTGTATTTTAAAAAATTAAGAGAATAGGGTATAGGTTGAAGTGTTAAAAAAACCAAAAATTAGTAATTTTTAAGTCTAAATAATAGGTCTATTATACTATTCTGTTTATATATATATATATATATATATATCTAAAACTAATAAAACTTTAAAGTAATGGTGAGGAAATCCATCTTTTAACATGTGCATAAACTATACAGTATAAACCAGTTATAAAAACAAAAAGTGATTTAGTAGTATAACAATGTAGAACTAAATTATCTACACCTATATAATGTAGGAGTAGTTAAAATATTCTGAAGTTCTTGTATTATTTGGGACCAAAAACAAAGATGAGGTTTGGGGCCAGGGATTTAGCTCAGTGTTTCCACCACCTGCCTCAAAAGCGCAAGATCCCAAGTTGGATCCCTGGTACCAAAAAAAAAGAAAAGATGAGGTTTGTTGTTGTTGAGGTTTTGTTTTGTTTTATTTTGTTTTGCTGGGGGAGGGGGCTTATTGCAGTACTGTGGCCCAGCTCAAATTTTTAGTCCTCCTGACTCAGTTTCCCAAAATTCTGAAATTACAGATTTGCACTACCCTGCCCAGTTTAACACATTCACATAGGGGCCATAATTCGTATGTCTTGCTACTGGGCAGCTTGAACCACCAGTGGTACACACATGCCTGTCCCACACATGACTGTACCACTTCTACCACCAGTGGTACAAGCCACCCGATGGCTTAGTCATGCATGTTAAACAAATATAGCAAGTTATAGAATGATAAGTACAGCACAGTACCATTTATATAAAATTTAAAAGCCTACAAGTGAATATGTTCATTATAACAAAGTATAAAAACAGGTATGGATAATCATTGCTTCTGTGGCAAGTGGAAGGAAAATGGGATGAGGAAGAGCACAAAGAGAGATTCAACTTTATCTGTAACCTTTTATTTAAAAAACAACTGAAACAAGCTGGGTGTGGTGCCACATGCCTATAATCCTAGCACTCACTGGAGAGGCTGAAGCAGGAGGATCACTGCAAGTTCAAGGTCAGCCTGGCTACAAAAACAAAACAAAACAAAAAACTGAAACAAAGATGTCAAAATGTTAGGATTAATAAAGTAATACTTTGGTATATTTTGAAATCTATTTAAAAAGACTAACTTTCCATTATAAATCTTGCTTAGGAGTCCCTGTCTAATCATCCAAATGTTTGACATACAATCCTTTGGCATACCCAGCCTCTTTCTTGTGTCTAGGTCTGTGTATCTTTGTTTCTCATCTAGGAGCCACCATCACCTTCCCACAACTTCTTCAAAATGGGAATGAAACTAGAAGCAGTGGACAGGAAGAACCCTCATTTTATTTGCCCAGCCACTATTGGGGAGGTTCGGGGCTCAGAGGTGCTTGTCACTTTTGATGGGTGGCGAGGAGCCTTTGACTACTGGTGCCGCTTCGATTCCCGGGACATCTTTCCTGTGGGCTGGTGTTCCTTGACTGGAGACAACCTGCAGCCACCTGGCACCAAAGGTAAAGGCCCATCTGATGAGATGATGAGGGAGATCACCCAGGTCTGTCAGCGGTCAGCCTGTCTTCACCAGCACACTTCAGGCAGGGGAGAAGCAAGGGCCAGCAACTTAGGTATGAACCAAGGGCTTAACAGTCAAGAATTAAATGTCAAATGAAGCCAGACATGGAATTTAGGAGAAAGTACAAATTCCTTCTCAAAATACCCTGATTCATTCTCAGGCAACTAGCTTCTCACCTGTCTTAATTTTGCCCCAACCCATTTCAAAGTTTGAATAAGGTCATTCTCAAGGTAAACATCCTTGGGCCTTATGGGTTTTGTAATGAGCTGGAGTGACATTGTAAGTATAATTGAGAAGACTGTAGCCAGATAAAAAAATCATTGGGCTTTGAAGTAAGATAATTACAGGTTTGAGATCCACCTGTATTTTTTACCTGTGTGGCTTCAGGGAGTTAATTTACCTCATTAAATCTCTAATTCCACATCTATAAAAGAATAACTACTTAATAAAGTTATTGTAAGGAATGAATGAGTTACATGGGCAAAATACATCTGGCAAATAACAAGTACTAAAATAATTTTTATGGTATTACTGCCGTTATAATTAGTTATATGCTATATTCATTATGATTATTACATAATATACTGTATTGTTATAATATGCTGCATTATTATTATTATAACACTATTATAAATTAACCACTGCCAGTGTAAAAGTATATATAAAGTACTGCAATAGTGCCATGAACCACCATAAACATTACTTTTGCGGATAATAATGAAGATCATCCAGGATAGATTTTGAGATAGCTGCTCTTAGGAAAATAATAATAATCCCATCCTCTTGAGTCTAAAAAGTACTACTGAATTTGAGAGAAGAGAAAGTTACCCCTCCTCTTGTCTGAGTTTCTTTTCTAAACCCCTGCTGAATTCATTCATTGAATTAGCCAAATATTTATCGAGTACCTAATTGCAAGCCAAACTGAGGATATAGCGGTAACAAAGATGAACAATGTCCCTGCCCCCATTGCATTTCTATTGTAGTGGGGTGAGACAGAAAATAAACATTTAAATCAAGAAGTAAGATTATTTCCGGGCTGAGGATATAGTTTAGTCTTAGTGTGTGTTTAGCATAAGAAAGGCCCTAGGTTCTATGCCTAGTACAAAGAGAGAGGGGAATGATGAGGGAGGAAGGGAGGAGGGAGGAGGGAGGGAAGGGGAAGGGGGAGGAGGGGGAAGAAGGAGGGGAAAGGAGAAGAGGGGAAGAAAGGAGGGAAGAAAAGAAAGAGAGGAGGAAGAAAGGAAGGACAGCAGGCAGATAGGCATTTAGGATTGATAACTTCTGTATAGAAAAATAAGGTAATTTTTCCTAAGGAAACAAAGCCTGATAAAATAGGGATAGTGAAGGTATGGGAGTTTTTTGTTTTCTAGCTTTATTGAAGTATAATTGACATAAAATAAATAGCATATATGTAAAGTGTACAACTTGAAGATTTTTTTTTGGTACCAGGGATCGAACTCAGGACCTTTTGCTTGCGAGGCAGGCAGTGAAACCACTGAGCTAAATCCCAGTCCCGAAGATTTTTGATATAAATATTCATGAAACCATTACAATCAAAATAATAAACATTTCTGTCATCTCCCAAAGTTTTTTTGTAGAGAGCGAACTTCTTTAGGTAGGATTTTTTTTTTTCAGGAAAATTTGTCTGAAAAGTTGGGATTGAGATCTTAATGATGAGAAGGAGCCATCATCCTAGGAAAGAATGCCAAGCATGTAGATGGGACAGCTAATACTGTGGTGCTGAGACATACATTTCATAGATTTCAAGTGCAGAAAGCAAACTGCTATAACTAGAATGCTCAGCCTGAGTGAGAAAGTGGTACAATTTGGCACTGGGGAACCTGGCAAGGGCCAAATCATATAGGTCTCTATATGTAAGCCAGAGTGAGAATTTTGATATTTATTCTAAACTTATTAGGGAACTATTACAAGAGTGTAAGGAATGAAGTAACAAGATTTGATATGCTTTTTGAAAATCACTTGAACTTGTATGTAGACTATAAAAGAACTTATAATTCAGCAATAAAAAGGATAAACAATCCAATTTAAAAATAAGCAAAGGATTTAGATATTTCTCCATAGAATATATACATGTGTCCAACAAACACTTGAAAATATGCTCAGAATTATTAATCAGTGGTAAAATGTAAATGAAAACCACAGTGGGATAGTACTTCCTACCCATGGGTATAGCTATAGTCAAAATATGGACAATAACAAGTATTGTGGAAGGTGTGCAGAAACTAGAATGCTCACACATTGCTTATGAGGTTGTAAAATGCTTCAGTCACATTAAAAAATAGTTTCAAAGCTATGCAAAATGTTGAACATAGTTACTGGGTGACCTAGCAGTTCCATTCATAGGTATATACCCAAGAAAATAAAAAACCTATGTCCACACAAAAAACACCATGAATGTTCTTGGCAGCCTTATTCATAATAGTCCAAAAGTTGAAACAACCTAAATGTTCCACAGCAGATGAATGGATAAATGAAATGTGGCATAGCCATATAATAAAATACTATTTGGAAATAAAAAGGAAATGAATTATTAATAGTGCTATAGCATAGACATACCATAAAAACATGGCAACTGAAAGAGAAACCATGCATTGTATGATTTCATTTATATGGAGTGTCCAGAACTGGCCAGATTACATAGAGATAGAAATAGACTAGTGGTTCCTAGGTGCTGGAGAGGAAGATAAATGGAAAGTAACTGCTAGTGGGCATGGGGTTTCTTTTTGGGACAATGAAAATGTTCTAAAATTAGATTGTGTTGATATTTGCACAACTCTCTGAAAATATGAAAAGACTGAATTGTAAATGGGAATTTTATGGCATGTGAATTGTATGTCATTAAAGCTGTTACCTAAAAGATCCTTGGGCAGCTCTATGGAAAATGAGTTGTATAATGATAGTTGGAGATGAGATGAGGGTGGCTTGGATTAGGATAGTAGCACCGAAATGGAGGCAACTTGGGGCAACATGATGGGGAGACACACTTCTTAATATAGAAAAGTCCCATTCTTCTATATGCTGCAAGAAACCTGCCCTGAGATTAGTATGAAAAATCCATTGCCTGCTGCCTAACTCGCAAGTGCAAGGTCCCAAGTTCGATCCCCAGTACCCAAAAAACAAAATCCAGTGCCATCCCTCTGCATGCTTTGTGAGGTAATAGCTATGAGAAGCAACAAGAACAGAGGCATCTTGGTACTGGCAGTGGAGTCATTTTTGTTTACTTGAAGCTAAAACAGGATAAGCTCTGGTGCTTTGGGCTTTTTTCAATGTTAGCTTTTTTTTTTTTTTTTTCATTTTCTTGCCTGGAAAATTCTGTTGTTTTTTAAATTCTGTTATTTTGCTAGGAAATCTCCTACAGCAGTTAGGCAGTTCTGCAGAGCCTGAAGGGTTGAGAGTCTCTGTGTCCAGGAATTGTTGGGCATGTATTCCTTTCTGACTGTACCCCATGCTGATAAGAAGTATGACTTACCTGGGCCAGGGATTTAGTTCAGTGGCATGGCACCAGCCTCGAAAGCTCATGGTCCTGAGTTCAATCCCCGGTACCAAAAAAAAAAGTATGACTCACTGTGTGATTGATGCTTCTAGAGGAGTTTGCTTTTTTCTTCTCTTCTGTGTCTCTCTGGAGGCATTAGATCTTAACAGAAGATGGCCTGAAGGACCAACTTCCTTCAGTCATTATTCCAGCATCATTCCCTCCAATAACTCTCTCCTCCCCAACTTCATACTTCAGTAGGTCCAACAGTGGAGCTTTCCGTAATAGCAGAGATTTGGCCATTTCTGTGCCCTGGCTAAGGAGCAAGTGATGCAATGTGGAAAGAATGTGATTACACAGTTCATTTCACAAAGCAAGATGTTCTCTGGGCATATATCTGTTCTCTTTCTATCATACTTTCTCATCTATCCTTTCTACCTTCTGGTCATTAGTGTGCAAATGTTTAAAAATTCAGAGTAAGATGAGAATGTTTCTTGATTGTGCTAAGTAGGAAAGAATACCAGTGTTCATTTAATGTTCTTTTACACATTATTTTATTTTATCTTCCTGGTTACTTCCTGATTTCATTTCACATACATTTATGTATGATAAAACTGAAGCTCAGACAAATATATGACTGGGATCTGGTGATATCTGAGTCTAGAGGATGCAATCATAAGATCTTTTAGTGGAGCCAGCTGTCAGGGTCAGTGCACATTGAGCTATAGTGCCTTCCTTCATGTCACCCCTATACTTTCTCCATTTTTCCACTGGCTTCTCTTTAAAGCTTCATTTGAGATCCTGCATTTGGCTTCCAAATCCTGGTCAGAAATAGGAAAGCGGCAGTATGATGTAATACCAGAATACTGAGCTAGGTTCTAATCTCAACAGGGCCACAGACTTATTTTTTCTTGGAGCAAGTTTCTCTACACGTGAGAGGCTAAAATGGACATCTGAAAGTTTTTCCATCTCTGTAATACCATGTAGTTTAAGGATTGTGGGAATAGCTGTGACTGTCTCCTGTTTGATTCCTGATCATCAGTTCACCTGTCCTTGCTCTGCCTGTCTGAAGAATCTTGCATTCCAGCTGCTGTCAACCTCTCCCTTTCTCCCTTTGCTAGTCCAGTAGTATTCCTTTTAGCTCCTAAACTGATGGACAGCAGCTACCAAGCTTCCAATCAATTCAGGACACTTGGTTATAAAGGAAATTTTGCTTTCTGTAACCCATTTTTTTTTGTCTTAAAAATGAAACAGACACATCTTTATTTTTTTAATTTAAAAAGCAAGTAAACAATTCAGTCCACATGGCATGATTATGATGCTGATCATGCCTTCTGCCATCATAGTAACCCAGTCATTGTCCCATTGCTGCAATTTCAGGCTAGGCAAGCCAGTTTCAGGTTGTAGCATAGCTTCCTATGCACTTTTAAAATAGGAAAATAACATAA